CCCCCCCGCAAAGGGTGGCACACCTACACCCCCCTTAGAAGGGGGTGGTCGGGGAGTTGGCCGCGCTCACGGCGGCCGCGGTCTCCGACAGCAGGGCGTCCAGGTCCAACTCCAGGGCCGCGGTGTCGACGACCGGCACGCCGAAGGTGGCACCAAAGTCACCGAGCGCCGGAGCATTGTTCATGAAGGCCGAGTAGTCCGGCGCGGCCTCGGCCGCCGGCGGCTGGTACGGCTCATAGTCGATGGTGGACGAGTCGATGACATCGAAGCCCAGGCCGTTGTCAGCCGCCGGAGGGGCAGCAGCAGCAGCAGCAGCAGCAGCAGCGGGCGGGGAGACCACCGACCCGGCCGGCGACACCGGGAAGACCGGCACCAGTGGCGGCGGGCTGAACGGGCTCGAGGGGACATGCGCACTGCCGGGGGAGATGGGCGTCGGGGGCTCCGAGGTGAAGGTGCACAGGTCGGCCATGGCCGCGTGGGCGGCCTCCAGGGCGGCCGCCGCATCGCGCTCCTCCTGGGTCAAGCCGTCATCCTCCACCGGAGGGGTGTCGGGCTCCTCCGGCTGCAGGGGCTGCAGCGGCGGCGGCGGGGCAGCGAAGGCCTGCAGCGGCGGCGGCGAGGACGCATCCCCGGCCGCGTCATCCTCAGCAGCACCCGCATGGCCCGGGTGCTGGTGCTCATGCATGGCCGGGCTACCGGCCGCCGAGGATGAGGGGCTCGCCTTGACCTGGTGGGCGGTGTGGATGGCGGCCGCGATTTCCCGGGCGATGGAGGACTTCTCCCGCTCGGCGGTGGAGCGCTGCTGATCGGCACTGCGCTCCATGTACTGCTCGCGGGCCAGCTGCTCCACCGGCGAGGTGTACACACAGGCGGCCACGTCCCACGGCTGCGGCGCGACCGGGAACACCTGCGGGCAGCTCTCGATCATGTACGCCAGCAGAGATGGCTGGAGCTGGACAAACTGCAAGTCCAGGTGGCTGTCGCCGAAGATGCACGGGGCCCAGCAGATGGACAGGGCCTGGGCATTCATCAAGTTGTGGTTGGTGAAAAGCAGCACGCGCCACAGGTGATGCAGCAGGAAGACCAGCGTGTCGCGATTGGCATCCGGCAAGCCGAGGACGAGGCGCTCGAGTTCGGCATTGCGCTGGCTCTGTGAGCACATGCCACACAAAGCCGACGGGGCGGGCACAGGGGAGACGTTTGTCAGTAAGCGCATCGCCAAAGTCCATGGCAAGCAAGCGGGAGCAGCCACGCCCAACACCATGCCCAAGGAAGGGGGGAGAGAGGAAGAGAGAGGAAGAAAGAGGAAGAAAGAGGAAGAGAGAGGAAGAGAGAGGAAGAGAGAGGAAGAGAGAGGAAGAGAGGAAGAAAGAGGAAGAGAGAGGAAGAAAGAGGAAGAGAGAGGGAAATGGAGGAAATGGGGGAATGTGCGCCCCAAAGGCGGGGCAGGAAACACCAAAAGCACCACACACGCACCAGGTCCGTCAGCGAGCACAGATCGATGAACGGCTGCAGCAGCTCATGCGGGATGACCGCCTGCGGGGCAGACCGCAGGAAGAGCTTCAGCAGGGACGCCACATCGGAGATCTGCACATCGGCCGCGGGGTAATTGGCCAGCAGGTGGTCCGCCAGCGGGGGCTGGCTCGTGCGACAGGCATTCTGCAAGTCCTCGATGCGGTTCTTCCGGCCAGGCACGCGGTAGATGCCCTCCTCGCGGAGGCCGAACTTCTCCAGGAAGTACACGCAATCCACCACCACCTCCGGCACATGCCACTTGAAGGGCTTGCCCGGGGCCAGCAGCGGCTTGGCGAACAGCCGGGAGGCCGGCGGCGGGGGGATCTCCACCGGGACGGCCGCCGGCTCCGGGGCCGGGGGCTCGCCATCAGCCGGGGCGGCCGGCGCCATGCCGGCCTCCTCTTCGGCGTGCTGGGCGGCCGCCCGCGCGGCGGCCACCGCCCGCGCCAGCGACGCGGCCTGGGCCTGCTGCTGGGACAGCAGGACCGGGTCCTCGGGCAGGGTGGCATTCCCGCCGCCGGAGGAGGAGGCCGAGGAAATGCTTGACACCGAGCTGGCCGGCGAGAGGGCCGACACGGCGGAAGCCGGGGCCGCCGCCGGGGCCGGGGCCGCCACCGCCGCCTGAGCCACCGCCACATTGTGGTCGTTGTACCGCTGCAGGCAGGCGTCCAGCGGCAGGCCGAAGACGCTGTCCGTCACGCGGGCCGCCGGCACCCGGTTGGCGTCCTCCGGGTTGCGGCTCTTCTCCTCGAGGTCACGCAGGCGCGCGGCCTCCAAATTGACCGCATAGAAGTCCTCGTACTCCACGTAGGCGGGGATGCTGTCGCCGGTGCGCGTGCGCGACAGGAACCCCTCGATGTCGGCCATCGAGGTGGAGGCATGGATGTTCCGGCGGACGGCCTCCAGCGAGGGCTGCGTCTGGCGGATGAGCTCCTCCTGGGCCTCGATCAGCTCGAGGATGGCATTCTGCCGGCCGGCGGGGGAGGGCGCAAAGCAGGGCGATGGTTGGGCCCGCGCACACAGACACACGAAGACCGGGCGTCAGAAGGGGGAGCAAGGGGGAAAGAAAGAGGCAAGGGACGAAAGGGGGGGGGG